CAAGTGATTACGTAAAATGTTCCAATGGTAAGTGGTTCCGTTCTCAAATCATACAAAAACAAAACAGATATTGTGGAGATTTTATCACTAGTCAAAACACTAACAAGAGGAACCATTAAATACGGATAAAATCGTTCTTTCCTAGTATAGTTTTTGTCGACAAAGGGATATATTTCTTTTGAGGTGTACAGGATTTCATTTATCTGTTATTGGTCGTCCTTCTATTATTGTTGGGAAAAAAAATAACAACTGGAAATGAAAACACCAGATAACATTCAAGTGTATTAAATTTCGATAATTCCAGTAAAAATGCTTTCATATGCTGACGAACTAAAAAAAAAAGAACGTCAAATATTTTGGTTTCCTGTTAATTATACACACGTACAAAATCTGAAAGTGGTTTCTACCACAGTTTGATACTAGTTAAACACCCATTGGGGTTCGGGGAGATATTTTATAACCAATAATTAATTAGATAGAGTTCAGCTGTTGACGCACAAGATGACTGTTGAGGCATAGACAATGGTACAATGTAAAGTGAGTGTGTTTTGGTTGTATACATATTCCAATTTAGAAGACCTCGTGAAAATATGGACTGTTTTAACTGTATGTTGTATGAAGCACAAACTAAAGCATACTTTTTTGAGCGTACCAGAAGTGTGTACAGGGATTATGATTAAATCGTTAAAATAATCGCTTTATACTTTTTGATGTGTGTGTGCGTCGGTGGCACAGTGGTTAGGACTCTCGCCGACTATGCATATGGTCCGGGGTTCGATCCCCTGCCGACGCACACCCGATATCTATGACCGGCCTGCAAAATTTGGGCTACCGATATCCATACTGAAAATTCCATACTTGTACCAAAAATAAGGTGTGGAATGAAGCTGTAATCAAAAATAAAAAAATTATAATAAAATGTAATCAGTTGGTCGAAACTATTCGTTCATCTTCTATGCATTTATATCAGTACTCTGGTTAAACGATCATTTGTAAATGAACAAAAGAACTATGTATACTGAAGTTAGTTTGTTCTGACCAAAGTAGATTGACTATCTGTTTGAAGGATATGTTTTACCATTTCATGAAATCTAAATGTCATAGTTTCTATGCCGAAATATGAGAGAAGTCAACAAGGGTCATGTGTTTTGAGCACATTTTTACTAAATCTTAGTCGACAAGTATTGCCTTGTTATCTGAAGGGTCAAATATTGAGAGAGAAAAAAACAACAACAACACAACTGTCGACAGCTTAATACACACGTTTCAAAATAAAAGATAATTATTTCCATCAAGATATTTAGCCTTTTAATCTTAATTAATATCTTTGTTCACCTACCACCCACCTCATAAAGACCAACTTGCAAACACATGTTTTTATTGGAAAATTTCTTAGTTTCATATTGTCTTTCAGTAAATGAGATGTGATCACGAATACACTTAAAAAGTGGACTTGGTAATCATTGGAAAAAAAGGAATAATAATTGAGCAGAGGATAACTTCACCTAATTTTAGTTTTGTTGTTTTACTAACCTGTCAAAAATTAATTAATTGGTAAGGAATTGTGACATAGTGATGAGAAAAAGTAACATGAACTCAGCATTTTATCATATCGGTTACAGTTTTTATTTTTTCATAAGTCTCATCAGTGGGTATGCGTCTTGGTAAAAGATACTATATGCATAGTTTAATAACCACCTGGTTCTATGACTGAATAACTCTCACAGAGGTAAAGAACAACAACAACAACTACAACAATAAAAGAAGCAGTCAAGTCGACTTTTGTTCACATGTCGAAGAAAAGAAGAAAGAGCAAAAGCAATAAAAAAAAGTAGTGAATCAGTCACTATGACTTATGCGTTAACAACATCAGTATGAACAAAAGAATAAGAAAAAAAACTCACAGCTTTATAGTGTTTAGAAAAATTTAATTAAAATTGAAAAAGAAGTATACTGTCAATCAAGCTGTTGGATGGATAGGTTGAAAGAAATAGAGCAATCGACTGGACGACATATATTTCCATATGTATATATATATATATATATATATCATAGAGACGCTAACCGGTCTCTAGTCATTTAGTTCAGTAGTCTACAGTTCACTGAAAGGGACACGTGTCGCCATTCGGTGACGAGTTCATATTGATGATGATAATGTTAAAAGTGGAACACTTAAACTCTTCTGAATCTTGCTTTTGTTCTGATCACTTTTCGTTTGTTGAAAAATTGATAAGTGAAAAGTCATATTGAGAGTTGGCGTTGTTAACAATTATCACAGACAGTATTAATATCGTAAAGAACAATAGAGGGAGAGAGAGAAGAAAACAAAAGCAATAACCAGAAATAGGTGAATGTTTTTGTTTGTTTTTTTGCTTTTGTAAGTTTTCAGATATACAGAGTACAGAAGACAAGTTGATGTTATCAAGTGTTTGTGTTTTACTGTATAGTAGTATATGCTGTTCACATTTCATTGTTGTATCTTTTATATGATACTGTTTCTGGCTTATTGAATATGACAAGAGAAAACAATCGGTTGAACCAGGTGGATATTACTAAGTATGGGTATTGTATGTTGGAAGAGTAATTATGTATTTCATCATTTACACTATCCTAAGCTAAGCTAAGCTAAGCTAAGCTAAGCTAATAACATTTGTATTCAAAGTAAGAATCATGGGAAATATAACAGACGTGCCTTATGATTTAAAATCTTAACTGATGACCTGAACTCATAAAAAACACAAAAAATGTCAGAGAAGCATTTACATGCACGTGCAGGCAAGGATAAATGATGCGTTATTTTTGACAAGTATGGTAAATATGCTCATTTTTAATTATTTTGTGCATGATATGTAGGTAGCAAAAGAGATAAATTAGTCTGTCGGGTTTTGTAGTGGTTGATATTATTAAACGACAAAGAAAAAAACAATAATTAAATAGCTAATTTAAAAGCGACATAATTAGCTTGTGTTTTATTTACAATCGCGAAAGCAAACTGGCCCAATATATTACTAGAAAAAGGACTAAGAAGTCAAAGCGTAGAATACTGGTGACAGAGTCCAGTATAACTTTATATTCTTTTTTATAATATAGAAATTTAGAATAATTTGAAATTCAGATCGTTTGTGGCAAAAATTCATTCTCACTAACTTTAGCCGGAATGTAAATACTCTATAGTACATGCTAATAATTATGTCATTAATGATGAAAACTGTAACATGGCCTCTGCTTAAAAACAATTTATTTTTCCTTGTTTTTATTATTTTATTTAGTAAGCTGTTCTTCTCTTACTCCAGCCAGTCCGAATAAAGAATTCAGTGCATTCAAATAGTTTTAAGCACTTAAACAAAATGAAAATATTATTTTCAGGCAAACTCGGCATAAACAGTAAATAAATTATGCCAAGTACTTATTAAATTATATAATATTAGTAGAACATAATGAGCAGTCGAAAAAACATTCTCAAGAAGACCTAAAATTACGAATATTACTTCTGTCTGGTATCAATAAATATTCTAAAGTTTGAAGCAAGATAGGTGAATATGCATAGGGTTATTCAACAATAGTGTCAGTTTACTGAACTATTTTTTTTCCTTCACGTTTCCCAGTGGAACATAGGACTTTTAGCTAGTGGCTTGAAGTTTCTATAGTAGTGTTTATTTTACAGGATGGGGTTGCTAGTCTCATGCCCAGCTTTTCCTCTTCACCAGCTTTATTTCTGGCTCAGCCAGGTAAAAGAGTGCGTCGGCCTGTGATCGAACCCCAGACTATGTGCATGGCCAGCAAGCGTCCTAACCGCTATGCCACCGACGCATTAGAACACAATAATTTATTGGGATAAAATCTGTCAAACAAGAAGAATAATTTGGCACTCTTCAAACCCAAGTTATGTTGTAAATTGCCAAATTGTATGTTAGTCAGTCTGAAAGCTTTTGTGCTATTTATCCTTTTCAATAATAATAGTATTATTATTACTGTTCCCTTTGGTTCTGCGTAGAAGATAGGGCTTCAACAATACATCCCCACTTTCTTCCATTTTCTGCCGTCCTCTTCAGCTGGGTCCACAATTTCCCATAATCTCTCATCTCCTCCTTGCCACACGATCTCCTCCATGTTACCCTCGCGTCGACGACCTACTCGTCGTTTCTTATTCGGATTCCATTTTGATGCAATCCTTTACCCAGCTAAACCGTCAATAAGACTGGTAAAGAGAGGAGGTTGGGCATGAGGCTAGCAACCCCATCCTGTAAAAATAGTCACCACTGCTACAGAAACTTCAAGTGTGTAGCTTGAAGCCTTATGTTCCTCTGGGAACGTAAAGGAATAAAAAAAGAGTATCATGCAAGAGTTAACAAACTGTAAAAGCAAAGTTTGAGGGATACTTGATTGTCTTAACTTCATAATGTAAAAGGTTAGACGGAACATATTCTTAGGAACTGACAAGATACGGTCAGAGGATAGAACTATTCTATGGTATCCATTCAACATTCAAAAATTTCACTAACTAATAACCATCCATATATTTGGATGGAGCGATTCAGAAGACCAAACCGCAGGCATCAAATCACTGCTTTCAACATACTTATCTACACGCTTACATGTAGATTTACAAAATAAGCTCGACATCATGCAGGCAGAGGACTTGCAGCACTAGTTTCTATTGTAGACAATGTATGCATCGCTTTGATTGTTTCCTCATCGAGGTATTTACATCATTTTGTGTTGTACGATTAACTGATAGGGAGAACTCATAAATGCATTTTCGGTATAATATGGCTACATTTAGGAAACACCATTTGACCATATTTCAGATATACTGTTCATTGTATCAGTCACTGTCCCTGCTAAGACTGTTTACAAATCAGATATCTGTGTTTCAAAAAAATCACTTATATGATAATTATAGAGTCATATATTCTTCAACAATTAAGCACTAACATTCTCCTTTCGTTGTAACCTAACTCCTCTTTTTTTGTTATATTTGTTGTTTTTTCCCTTCACAGGTAAATCTTTTAATATCACAATCACAGTAGAAACTACGCCGCCTATTATAGCCCTATACGCGAGAGCAATCAAAGTGACAGTCGATGGACCACGTGTACCAAGAAGTAAATACTGTAAGTTTTTGCATGCACTCTTGAATCAAATATTCCGCTTTCTCTCTAACCAAATATCACCGTTTAACAAATAAATGACTTTAAAAAGAGATATACTGGATCAACTTCAAAGATTAATAGCTGCTGACTTAGTGTACTTCATCTCCACATCACTTATCTATTAAAAGTTTCAACTAGATTATAGACTACATTCATATATGTATGTTGAATATAATCTGAGGTAAATGATTTGCTCCGGTACACTGGCTGTGTATTAAGCATTAGCATATTTCATATGTTGTGGAGTGCATCGGTGGCACAGCGGTTAGGACGCTTGCCGACCATGCACAAGGTGTGGGGTTCGATCCCCGACCGACGCACCCTTTTACATCGCTAAACCGTCAATAAGACTGGTAAAAAGAGAAGGTTGGACATGTGGCTAGCAACCCCATCCTATGAAAATAAACACCCCTGCTACAGAAACTTCAAGCCTGTACCTTGAAGCCCTATGTTCCACTGGGGAACGTGAAGGAATAAAAAAATATGTTGTGCAACAAATCATCAAACTTTTCAATTCAATGACTCCACTGAAACCATCACCACGAATTCAACACAAAAAATTTCGAAATACACTTGGTGAGCTTTTCCATTACATTACACGAGTAGCTTTGACTTGACCACTGAAGAAAAGTACAAGCTGTCATATATTTCACTTGCTTTAATTTACAATACTGTTATAACCAAGTGCATGATTATAGAATTTTGGATTCTCAAAGCCGCGAAACATAATGATATATATTTCTTGTTGAATTGACCATGGAAATTCCTACTGAATAAATAAGTCGAAAGACGTAGCTCACTTTAGTATTTATATTGTATTCTGATTTGTACACTTCAAGTATGATATACCTTTGGAATATAAATAGCACGTAAATAAAAGTAAAACTATTTAGTAAGTGATCTTCTACATTGTCTTCCACTCTTTACCCCTAATCCATATTCTTAACTGTTATTCTTGGATTCAGTCGTCAAATCTACTGTTCACAACCCAGTAAGTATTTGAAGATGGGATAAGCTAGGCAAACTAAACAGAAGGCGAACAGAAAGGCATTCATTCTCAAGGGGATTGTCAATTTCGCTTGTCCTTCTATGACTGCTTTTTCTTCTCTCTTTGTCCCTCTCTCTCTCTCTCTCTTTCTCTGCCTACTTCTCTGTTAATGTATGATACACTCGGCATATGGCATAGAAATTATGAATAATTATAGAATAAAAAAAAAGGAGAAAAAAAATGTAGTTATTGTTTATTTAAGTGTCTGGTGTCTGTATATCAGTGAGAATGGATTCACTTTATCCGTTAATAATAATAATGATATCCTAAATAGACACAGTGATCGTTCCGCTGTTACTATTAAATTTACTAAATAGTAATAGTACCAGTAGTAGAGTAGTTAGTAATAATCATAACAATAATGTTAATTATTATTTCATATCCGAGTAAAATCATTCCTCTTTTTCTCTGTGTCTCTCTCTCAATTATCATCCTTATTATTATTATTATTTTGTTGTTATAAACTTGATATATATTCAACAGCTGTTCTTCGAATAGACAATTTACGCAGGGACTTTTGTTGTGTCAAGCAAGCAAGCAAGATATTACCTTCAATGTTTTATTTATCTCTACACAAAAAAGATACACATGTATACATGTGTATGTTATTAGTGTTAGTTATATATACACTCACTTTAACTTGTTTTATTAACCACTTGTTCTTTGATGGTTAGCAGAGAGAGCGAGAGAGGGAGGGGGGGAGAAATAGTAATAGTAATAATAAAAACAACCGACAATATCAACTTTGTGATATTTCTTTTCTCCTGTTTGTATGCATTAATAGGGAAGAGCATAGTATATATATATATATATATATATATATATATATATATATATACAGAGAGAGAGAGCAGGAACAAGTCCAAAACTATTTCTGAAAACCATCCTAAGTGGTCTAATAATATGTTTTCCATTCACATGTCATAATGTACACACTGATTGTGGATCACTAATTTGATCGATGTTTTAATATATATATATATATATATATATATATACTCTTTTTGGATAACAGATTTAACATTTTATAAATAGTGATGTGATAGTAAATCACATCAACACTGAACAACTGTTTAATAATCGACAATTTGCCCTATCTGAGTCGTAAACTTCTCATCCATATAACGAATACTTTGTTATTTAGAAACTGTTGTAGGATTAATTCTATGGTGAGCATTTTTCAACTGATACGAATATCAACTTGGTAACTGAGATACCTTAAGGATTTATTCTAGTGCATGAAAAGTCATACAAATTTACAAATAATAATAATAACAATATTTTAATGCATTTGTAGTTGTCTGTTTAAGAGTGATTAGTTTACTGGAAGACAGGTTGACTAAACTCCATGATCAGCAGACTTCATGGCTTGACACTCTGGTTTACATAATCTAGTACTAAATATTTAGGAGTTGTAGACTCCTAATTTCATGCTGTCAGTGTTTGTTAACAAGACGTATTTGCAACTTCACAGTAAGTGGTGCTTCTTTAGAGATTTGAAACAAGAGTCCACCAACATGGGATAATTTTACGGCATCAAACAACACTAGAATACTTGATTGACATTTTAGTAACGTTTGAAGAGAGACACTGTTCGTAGTAAATCTTTGTGAAACAACTAAATTTTATTTTGATGGCAAGATTAGTTAACGCAAAAGTGTGGACGACTAAATAAGCATTCTAACGAAATAAAAAGAAGTACTTTTGGATTAAATGAGCAATCAGTTTAAACGAGGAGTGAAGATCAGGTATACAGTGATTAAATAAATAGTGTAAGAGAGTGCACCACCCCTAATATTAACTATGACTGTACGCTTATAAAACTAATTCATGTACGCATATAATACGTTTACACAAGCTAATTTTACCTATGCTTGTCGAATATTTACCACTGTATTATTGGACATTGCTTTTCGTACACTTACATTCTCCTGGCGCGCTTCAAAATTTGATTTCGTTGACAATTTGTCTTTTTAGGTTTTCACTTGTGTCCTTTGATACAACGTTGTTTGATACTGAACCGCATACAGTGTTAGCACACCCTAGAACATGGAAACTTGGGTGAACTGTAGTATTTAGTAATCTATAAGAGACTCAGATTTATTATTAAAGAAAGGCTGCACACGTGTAATTAACTTAAAATAGTAGTGGGTATCTTAAAACCAACAGTTGTAGGGTGATCATTTGAGTTTCCTATGCAGTACAAGTAACTATTAAGTTTTAAGGTGAATTTCGTCACTAACCGACGTCATTTAGAAGATGATTGAAAAATAGAAATCACTGGACAACTGTTGTGTCCCATTTCGGGATTCTACACCGCCTAACACTCATAATTCCATCACGGATAGAACCTAAGGCGTTTATGTTCGAATACGAGCGCCTTACTATTCAGCCAACTGATTGGAATAAACCGGCCTAAAGTTTACTTAGACTGTCGATTTTATTTTAAAATTGAACTCCTTTTTAAATCTGGACCCAGAAAACCCCCCTAGATAGATAGATATTTTCGTATCTATCAGACTATAACACATTTTATTGCTTTTCTTTTTGTCAATAGTTAGTAGTTTTTATTACCCTAGTGACAAACTATTGTGTGTGTATAGATGCACTTAGACGCATACACTGGCATAGAAATGAATAGCCTATTGAAAGTAATGTGCTGGTAAAGGTGAGATAAAATCAGCCACTGAAATTTGTAAAGTGTTAATAGCTTTCTCTATTATAAATACAAATAAAGTGTTTGCACAATTAAAAGGGCAAATAATAATAATTCTTTCGAAAAAATGCATAAAAATTATGGTTGGCTATGCGAACAATAAGAATAACAATAGCAACAACTAACGTTTATTTGTTGTGCTATTTCGTGCCCAATTTTATTGTACTTGTTTTATTTTTTTTTGACCGGTTTTACTGTTTTATCAAGCCTTCAAACTACTTATTATTTTCCACTTCCACTTCTGTATGTGACTGTTTTCTTCAGTTTTAATTTCTAAGGAAACTTAACGGTTAACTGTTCTAGGTTAGTTGTTGTTTCCTGAGCCTACGGAATTGTCTGTCATGAGTCTGACTGTCGAGTTAAATATTTACTGATATAAGTTTGTTATTAGTAGATTGTTGAAGGCAGGCATTTCTCTACATAACACTAATTAATATATGCAGTATATGGGGGGATCTTTCCACCCAATAATTTAAAAGTAGACATCGTGATTATAAGTCTTGGGATTCAGGTCTTTATCACTAATATGATGAGCAACATCCACTGAAGTGTTTTGTTCCTAGTTGTATTAGGTTAGTCGAACAGAGTGAACTGGTTATGTACCTTAGCATAGTAGCAGTAGTTTTAATTTGTAATGCCTATGAAGAAATAAGAATTCGGTTTATATATATTTTATGATGAGTGTTCATGATTTCGCAGGCAGTGCTGTTTATTCTTATAAAGGCTGAGAGATGAAGTACCTAGACTAGCCACTTCTAATTGTATCTACAAATTCAAATGCGCTTGTGATGGAGCGAGTTATATTGACCGTTGCTCTAGTAACTTGATTTTTAATGCTTGGGAACATCTCCCAGTATGGTTGAGTAAAGGTATAGTAAAAACTATCAACAGTCCGGTATTAGACCAGCTGCTACAAAGCTAGCATTGAAGAATTCTTCTCTATCATATACCGGGTATTAAATAAATTGCCAAAAACATCGAGGTACCGCATGCTCCAAACATTAGAGGCTATCGCGATTTGCGTGAAACAACCAGTGCTTTGTGTGCTAAAGAAGCAAGTCCAGACACCACTACTGCCATGGCCTGCCTTCAGTAGAGACTATAAATTCATGAATTTCTATTATTATCTTTTCTGATATTTATTTTACTGTTATGTTGATGCTACTGAACGGTAATCTACTGATATTATTGGTGAAA